TTCCTTGTTACAAAGGCACACCCATTGTGAGGCTTAGTTATTCTGTGAAAGAAAGTAAAAGCCAAACTGAAGCTTAAATATAAGAGCTGTAAGACATTTTCTTCATACTGATAAAATCTCTACCATTAAAATGAAAGAAATGAGCTGATCATATTTCTATGTCTTTATGATATAATGTTTTCTATTTCAGTGGACTTAGTTTTTGTTCAAGGAACTGGTTACCCAGAATTATCTGTAGCTAGATTCATCTATTTCTAAACTCCTAAAGGATTTTAGACTGATGGCTGCTAGCCCTGGTTGATGCCTATCACCCAAAAAGCCTATGTCACCCGGTTACCAGGAAACAACCAAGTCAGGATAGTGGCTTACAATGCCACACCCCACAGCCCCACCCAATGGCTCACAATGCCCATCCCTGCTGCTGCCCACCTTGTGGTCACCTGCCCCAATGTGTGACTGCATTATTCATTCTGGGCTGCCTGAGCTTTCCAGTCCTGAGGAAAGTGGGTGTGTGGAGGGGAGGGTGGTTGTTATTGGAAGTCACCCTGGGCGCTGAACTCAGCAGAAAACCCTGGTTACTAATGTCAGTTCCATTAGCATCTCTGGTTTTCTGAGTCTGGTAGCTTTCCTTTACTCAACAAATGTAGTGATATATAATGTTTGACTAATTTTGTAGCTAAATGCTCCTCTCCTGTCTTACAAGTGTTAGTTTTTGTCTTCAATTTGACCATAGCAAAAAAAAAAAAAAATGAAATATTTCCTCTCTCCTCCCCTTTCCCATCCTGTAGGAAGGGGAGCCATGAAAATAAACTCTCTTCCACAGGCAGGGTCTGGCCTTCTAACTCTCAAGTCTTTACCTTACAAATTCAAGTCTAAAGTCATTTCATCTCTTTTGAATCCTGTAACCATGAGCTAGCTCTACCTGTCTCTCAGAACAAGGAGGTGAACAAAGCCCGTGAAGTTACTGGAGTAGGGCTGAAGAGACATTCATGTCAAAGTGGGAATTTTAAAGGAATCAGAGCTCCACGGCTAAACTTTTGGGTAAAACCAAACCAAAAACAACTTCTTTTACAGCTCTGGCAGTAACATTTCATACCTTTTGCAGTCATTTTAAGCATGCCCCACAATTTTTCCTTCAGTTTTCAAATTACAATTGGAAGAAATAAAGCTGCTTCTGTCAAGGTGACTTAAAACCATCTATTAAGAACACCATATAATCTCTTTCATGGCAAACTCTATTTTAAATTTAAGAAGTCTCCAAATATTTCAGTCTGAATTATCCCAATTATTAGCTTCCTTATTGAAAAGGAGAAAAGAAACAATTAGGCCTTTAACCAGCTCCTTCACTGAGGTACCATACTAGCTGGATAGGTCAGGCTAGAGAATGGGATGAGGACTCCAAAACTGGAGTATTTGAATTTTCATTGAGGAAAGGGAGAGACTAGACCAAAAAGGCCTCAAGCAAGAAGGCTCAACAACAAAGACAAGAGGCAGGACTAGCCTTTGTCCCCCATGCCCAGCCCTGGGAAAGCTGGCTATAGGCAGGAGGGAGCTGGAAGCTGAGGATGTCTCTGGGATGAGGGGGTGGGAAGGAGGTGGGGGAGGTGGTGGCCAGAGATGTGCCACAGAGCAAATGGCACCCGTGGCTTCTTTACCTTTGCGCCTCTTTGTGTTGGTGACAGGCTCTGCAGTGGTGGATGTTGGTGCTGCAGCTGCCACAGACTGAGTCTCGAATTCACAACAAGGTGCCACCCCCTGCTTGCACCAGGTACAACTGAGGCGAGCCCTGGGGCCTAGGCAGCAACTTAATGTATTTCCCATGGGTGATCTAGAATCGGACCTTCAAAACAAAGCAACAAACACACACACACACACACACACACACACACACACACACACACACAGCAACAAAAAAGAAACGAAACAAAGCAACACACAAAATAATAATAAAAAAAAAGGACCAACAAAAAAGAAAAAAACAAAGCAACAGAGCAAGCAGCAAGGGCACAAACGCTTCCGTGAGGGTAGTCGGAGCTCCTCCTCTTCCCACTACCAGCTTCTGACTGAAGGCTGCTGGCCCTGGCTGATGCCTGTCACCCACAAAGCCTCCTATGTCACCTCGTTACCAGGAAACAACAAAGTCAGGCCAGTGGCTCACAATGCCATGTCCCACAACCCCATCCAATGGCTCACAATGCCCATCCCTGCTGCTGGCCACCTGTGGCCACCCTGCCCCTCTTGGTGACTGCATTATTCATCCTGGGCTGCCTGAGATATTCCACTTTTCACTATAGGCCTCAAAGGGCTCTGAAATGTCCCTTCATAGATTCTATATAGAGAGTGTGTCTAACCTGTGAATAAAAACAAAGGTTTCATTCTGCGTGATAAATCCACAAACACAAAACATTTTCCCAGAATCCTTTGGGGCCCATCTCTCACCTTCAGCTTCCTGTTCCTGGTTATTTGGGCTTCTGTCTTGTGTGCTCTGTCAGGTTCTAGGCCTTGTAAGGGTGAGTTCTATGTCTCCACTCATTTATATGTGCCCAGTAGGGCTGGCTCTTGGGAGGGTCTTCATGGTGACTGAGGCCATGGATCCTTCGCACTGTTCCTTGAATCCACTTGACATGAAATACTCATCCTGAAATGATGCTTTGAAAGTGATGCTTCCAGTCAATTATGGATCCACTGTATTATGGGTCCCTAGCACCCAATACATGGCATATAAGAAATGAATGAAAATTAGTGAGTGAATGAACTCAAATGTGCCTACAAGGTGAGAGAAAAGTGGTTCTACTTATTAGGTGTGCTACGAAGGCACCTGGGACTGTTGGCTTTGCTATTTCCTAGTAGGCCTGGGGCTTTGAAGGCTGGCATTTCCTCATTCTAAACCTCAAATTCCAATAAATTACCACCAAGTGGACAAAGGTCCACGGGCCAGAGCTCTTGGTGTGAACAACATACCTTTTTTTTGGGTGTGATTAATGGACAGGGACTATACTAAACTAAAAACAATGTGTGCTGACTACCTGCAAGCCGTGGTGATAAAGTACTCTGTATATATGATCTTATTCAATGCTTGTTACAAATCCATGAAGTGGATTTTTAGACAAACTTTCTATTCTAGAGCTTTTTGAACAAGAGGCTAGTGTAGTGAGTTTTCACCTACTTGAGATTCAGATATTTGTTATCTCATGGCCAATCTCATTATATGTACACTCCTACATGCTTCTCCTCTTCCTCTCATGATTTTATGGCAAATCCCACACATCATATAACTTCCTCCCTGACTGTCTTGGTATATGTCTGTAAAAGATATGATTCTTGTTTGTTCTTTCAAGACAAGGTCTCTGTCACTGAGGTTGGAGTTCAGTGGCATGATCTTGGTTCACTGTGGCCTCTCCTGCCTCAGCTTTCTGAGTAACTGCAACTACTGACTCACACCACCATGTCCAGCTAATTTTTTAATTTGTATTTTAGTAGAGACAGGTTCTTGCCATGTTGCCCGGGCTGGTCTAGAATTCCTGGATTCAAAGGATCTTCCCACCTTGACCTCCCACACTACTGAGATTATAGGTGTGAACCACTGTGCCCAGAGACAAGAACTCTTTAAAAAATATAATCCCAATACCATCATCAACCAACCATCTCACACCATTGCTCTTTATCACTGTCAACTCTCCTGCTAGCTCCAAATTTCCAGTCATTTCATGTATTTATGATTTGAATCTGGATCCAAATAAAGTCTCTCTTTGGGATTGTTTGATTCACCTCTTAGGTTTTTTTTGATCCTGACAGCTTCCCACTTTGATCTCTGTGTTGTCCCTTGCAGTTCATTTATTGAATAAATCAGGCCGTTTCCCCATAGTTTGGATTATGCTAAGTGTATTCTCATTATGCTGTTTCCCATAATGTGAATTTTTCTAATTGTATCTTGTGATATTGGTTAACTTGCTCTTCACTTTGTTCTAGTTTTTATAAATTAGTAGTTTGATCTCAAGACTTGGTCAGATTCAGGTTGGACTTGAGGGTCAGGGCAAAAAGACTGCTAGTTTCTTCTGGGAGGAGGTGTGTACTCTCTGGACATCTTTTTTGTTTTAATTAGTGACGTTAATGGCCATTGATCAATTATGGATTGAACAATGAAGGTATTGTTGTGCCATTCCTTCTTCATTTATGAGCTGCCATACTTCCAGAAAGAGATGCTGCTACCCTAAGAAGGGCCTTGCATGAAGAAAAAAATAATGTAAATATAAAAAAGAGATGCTGCTTCTTATAAACTGTGTTACTCACTTGTACAATGTATATAGAAAACGCCAGTTCGTGGCTTGATTTCTTCTGTTTACCATTTTTCAAAATGATGGGCTGTTTCATTTATATCCCTCAATGGTGACCACTTCTATTAATTAATTTATTTAGACAGGGAGGGTCTAGCTCTGTTGCCCAGGCTGGTATGCAGAGTCATGCCACTATAGCCTCAAACTTCTAGGCTCAAGTGACCTTCCCACCTCAGCTTCCTGAGTAGCTGGGACCAAAGACATGGGCCCTCATACCTGAGTAATTTAAAAAATGTTTTGTAGAGACAAAGTCCCCCTGTGTTGCACAGGCTGGTCTTGAACTCCTGGATGAAGTGATCCTCCTAACTCAGCCTCCCAGAGTGTTGAAATTACAGGCATAAGGAACTGTGCCAGCCCACTTTTATTTTTTCAAAAGGATCATTATGAATGCAGACATTCAAACATATCTGATATATCTCAATTCACTGCAACTATTATCCTTATTAATGTACAAATGTCCTATCTTTGGTTAGAATGAGTCCCTTCAGATTGGCCCTTCAGACATGTTGAAATCATCCTAATAATCTCTGATGGATTCTTTGCTATCCAGAGTGACAATATGTTCCAGGCTCCTTACACATTTCTGGTCTAGACCTGAAATCAGCACTTTCTCCAGGAAGGCTTGTTTTCTTTCATTGGGCAATGGTATTTTGAGACTATTTTGAGACTACAATCTTGGTGCCAGGGGTAAATAGTATAATTTTAAAACTTAAAAAACTGCCTGGCTCATGCCTGTAATCCCAGCACTTTGGGAGGCCAAGACGGGTGGATCACCTGAGGTCATGACTTTTAGACCAGCCTGGACAACATTGTGAAACCCCATCTGTACTAAAAATACAAAAAATTAGCCAGGCATCATGGCTGGAGCTTGGGAGGCTGAGGCAGGAGAATCGCTTGAACCTGGGAGGAGGAGGTTGTGGTGAGCTGAGATTGTGTCATTGCACTCCAGCCTGGGCAAAAACAGCAAAACAGTCTCAAACAAAAACAAAAACAAAAATTAAAAATAATTAAAAAATTAACAGCTTTATAGAGGTGTAATTTACATACTAAAATTTACCCATTTTAAGTGTACAATG